AGAAGTGGGGGCCAGCAAGTGTACCCCAAAGCCTTATCTACCAGGCTTTGGTATAAAACTTCCCCCCAAGATCTTAAAAACCTAGATCTTGGGAATAAAACTTCCGCTGCCACCACCCAAATGTTGCTAAAGAAACCAGGGGAAAGATCATTTGGGAAATCTCACCCCTAAAATAAAAATCAGGACACACTATTAACCACTGCCAGGTTAATAAAAGAAAAGAAAGAACTTTTATTATTACAACAATATTCTGGTTGCAAGTATAATGACTGGAGAGGGAGGTAACAAAATATACTAATGGAGAAACTCCATGGGCCTAGAACTTAGTTACAAAGAAAAGCCAACACATCTTTTAAGCAGTGCCAGATCTCAGATCCCATACCCAATCCTTAAGACAATAAAACCTAACGAGACTACCTAAACTTTACCCTACTTACAGAAAATGAAGAATGGTGTCTTGGAGAGAGAGAGAGACATGCTTGTCCCTCTCTGTAGCTGCAGAGAACTCTCAGAGAGACAAAAGGACAAAGGAAAAACCCAAATTCCTTTGTCCCAGTTTGAAAAATCCCACCTACATTCTTATTGGTCACTCCACCTGGCTAGGTGTAGTTAACCCCTTAATCCCCAGGCTGCTGGCTAACCCTCATAATCATGACAGCATGTTTCCATCAAGGCTGATCCTCTATTTCAATCAATTACAAAGAGGGTCCCAGTTTGTCTAGAATTGGCCAGGGTCCATGCCATTCCCTCTTTGGGAATTTTTTTTCTTAGGTACGGGTTTGACTTGAACCATTACCCAGCTCCCAATCTGCCATTGTTTGATATCGCTGTTTCCATCAAATACCTGATTCGTTTTTTTCTGTTCTGCAGCTTGCTGTACTGCAGCTGCTCCTTAAGACTGTGCCCAACCAATATTTAAGGCTATTCATCTAGGTCCGTGGTCTCCAACCTCTTTAAACCCAAGATGACTTTTTAAATGTCAGAACAAGCCAAGATCTACCGCCCCACCCCTTCCTTGAAGCCCCGCCCTCTCTATTCTCCTCCTCTACATCACTTGCTATCCCCAACCCTTATACTGCTGCTTTTTTTCCCCCCAATTCTTCTGTAGGAAGAGGTTTTTCCAACATTTGGCCTGTCTGGACTGGACCAAATGTCAGAAAAACCCCTTCTTTTGGAAGCCCCCTTATTCCTCGTGGAAAGAAGAATATAGGGGTGACCGAAAGATCATGTTTGCTCTTCCACTAAAAGAAGCAGCAGAACAAATGCATCCCAGGATGCAGAAGAATTTTTCCTGGGATACCTCCGGAATCCTGAAAAACTCCTGCAGTCTAGCCGTACCCTCGCTAGGTTTAGACAGGATGTGTAGGTTCTGGGGTGGGAATGAGCGCTTTGGGTGTGGGAAGGGGTGAGAGGTGCAAGCTCTGGGAGGAAATCTGGATGCAGGAGGAGGTGGAGAAGGGAATGCTGGGGGGTGGGAATGAGGGATTTGGGTGTGGGAAGGGGTGAGAAGTGCAAGCTCTGGGGGAAATCTGGATGCAGGAGAAGGTGGATAAGGGGACACTGGCACGGGGAGAGGGCGCCAGGCTGGGCAGTGTTGGGGTCAGATGTAGGGTTAGGGTACTAAGGAAGCCACAGACTTCTGGATGTGAGGGTTCAGGAATTTGGGTTGGGGTATGTGAGGGGCTCAGAGCAGGGGGTTCCAGTGTATGATAGGCTCCGATGTAGGGTTTGGGGAAAGGGGAGCACAGGAGTGTTATGATGCTGTGACCAGATGGGTTCTTAGTCCCAATTTGGGGTTTGTTGGCTAGGCTTCATTTTTAAATAAAATACTGTCAAACAAAAAGTTTCTGCATTGTCTTTATTTCTGAGAAGGGCAGGGAACTTGTTTTGAGTCCGGGGTCACTGATCCAAGAAAAGTCAGTTGGGGCCTGTCGGGGGCCACCCCTCACGCTTGGGGTTGCTGCCCTCATCTGGGGCATAATCCAGCCCACTTGGGCCTAGGCCTGAAGCGTGATGCCCCTTTTTTAGGGGAAATATGGCCTGCTGGCCTAGTCTCAATGTCTACTGCCCCTGCAGTAGGGGAAATACGGCCTCCCGGCCTAGTCCTCAATACGCAGGCCCTGAGGCCTAGTCCTGAAGTTCTTTATCCCAGCCCCCACTCGCCAGGGTCTCAGGCAGCAGGGGTAGGGGGACCCAGGCCCTCCCTCTCCACCGGGCCCCAACCCAGGGCCCTATTAGTGGTAGGTGGCTCCCACCACTGGCTCAGTGGGGAGTCCTCCCTGCAACACCCCAAGCCCTCAGGGGCTTTTACAGCTCCCTGCCCTGGGTCGCTTCCTACCTCCTGCTCGCAGCCTACCACGGTCCCACCTATCAGCGTTGGTCGGGTGGCTGTACTGGTACTTCCCCCGGCAACATTGGGATTGCCAGTGTCCAGTCCGGTGCCCGGGGGGCCACGCGGGCAAGCTTGGCTTGGGACTGGTGGATCCAGCAGGCCTGGCGACACCTCTCCGTCCATCCAGTCTGCACAGTGGGGCACTAGTTCCAGCTCTGGCTACAGTCTCCCCCCTTGGAGCAGGCCGGCAGGCTTTTATACCTTGGTTCCCCTGGGAGCATGCCCAGTAGGGCTGTGTGGGTGGAGCTTGAGTGCAGGGCGGGGCCACACAAGTGAGATGCAAAAAAACCCTTTGTATCCCCTCTCCCCCCCCTCAACAC